ATGCTTTTCAAAAGGTTCACAACCTCAGCTAAAGAGGGATACCCACCAAATCCCTGCAGTTTAGCTGACCCTCACACAGCTTCCCCCCACGACAAACACACACTGACACACACAGCAAGATGGGCCTCAAAACTGCACCACCGCTCACACCAACTAGCCTAGTTAATGTGGTCTATTTTAACATTAAGAACATGAGGAGAGCTGATGCATTATAGTCAATTTATTATAGATCAGAACTGTACATGAATTAATTTGTCAGTTTTTGTATGTTTGACTTCAAAGTTTCCCACTGAACTGTCTCCTTTGAAGTTTTCTTATAATCTGCTCCATATATCCACAAGGAGGCGTGGGTGGTGGGACCATGTTCATCAGTATGTTTAAATGCACTTCAAAAGCTGGAACACTGACCACTGAAACCCACAGATCACCATGACTTTCATACAGTTTCGAAAAGCTGACCGACAATTTCAGCTCATATTTTTTGTTTTAATAAAGCAGCCATATCATGAAAAAACAAATTTATCGTTAATTTTATAGTCCAGAAAGTCCCCATATAGAAGCTAATCAGAAAATTTTATTGTAGTTGTGATGTCACAAACATGAACACATTGACATATGACTGCCTATTCAGTCTACAGTCACGCTGAAGTGATAGAGAGTGTTACTGCAGACAGTCTACAACAGGGCTGCGCAATCCTGGTCTTGGAGATCTTCCACTCTGGAGATCCTCATCCCTGAAGACCTTCATTACCTCAATCAGGTGTGTTAGACTAGGGTTGGGAGCTAAACTCGGCAGGATGGCAGATCTCCGGGACCAGGATTTAGCACCCCTGAGCTACAGAGTGGGATGTGTGTGGAGATGCTCCTGTCTAGTGGGAAACAAATTATATCAAATAATGGCTGAATTTTTTCTTTCAGCTTCTATGAGAATTTTAACATTGTAACCAAATGTTACAAGTGGATAAAATACAAAAAAATGAATGCCCGCACAACGTTTTCCTTTTAAATTCAGTGGTAAACTTGTTTATTGGGGGGGGGGTTAAAAATAAAATAACAGTAGGTTATGGGGAAATCAGAGAAACCAAGGGGGCATAAATTGTGACACACATGAAATTAAAGATGGAAAGTGACCAATTGGTAACACATCATGTGTGACAGAAAGACTGACGGACAGCAGTAAAAATTATTTCTGTCACTAATTTCTCTAAAAGGAAATGGCTGAGTTGTTTTGAAAAGATGAAGTTAAGCCTGAATATGAAAGCCAGTCAACGCAGTGAAGTCATCAACATACTTATTCCAAAAAAATAATAATCATGCTGATTTGAGTTTTTTTTACTTTAAGGTGCACCCATTGCCGATCAAGGTGTTCAAGTGTACACAATGCTAATATAATCTCTACAGAAAAGCATTGCCATTAAAATTGGAGCTGTAACACATGAGTCTAGGGTCACCATTTACAGCTAGAGGGTTACAAATCCCTGCATTAGAGGGGTATAAAGCCTAGCACTGGGCTGTGGATCAGTGGAGCTGTGTTCTCTGGAGTGATAGAGCTCCATCCAACACCTTTAGAATGAGCTCATTCAAATCTTCAATCAAATCCTCACAGCAATGTTATGTCTAAAGCAGGGGTCAGCAACATGTGGCTCCGGAGCCACATACAGCTCTTTTACTGTCCTGTTGTGGTTCCCCAGCAAAATTAGATTCCTAGGTAAAAATAAAATAATCCTCCTTTGCAGTAAAATACAGCTCTGGTCATTGTTCTAACACAGTTTTAACAATAAATGGTCCTAAACGCTGGAGTTAATGCATAGCTGTCAATTCACCCTTTAACCCTGAAGGTTGGCGGGCAGACTGCTGGTCATCATAGCACCTCTGACAACAGTCTCGCCTAACTAGTAGCTAACGAAAAGGCAAAGAGAGAGATTTAAGAGGAACATCGATAATTTAGAGACAAATGGAATTATTTGCATTTATAAGTACTCAAGTTTCCTGGTTTCCTGATACGTTTAATCTGCAGTGAGAAACTGTCAAACACTAAAAAGTCACGAAGCTATAGTCAGTTTCTCTTTTAAATTCTCCTGTTCCACCTTAAATAGTGCAACGGTTACATTCTGGCACCTCAGGCCCCACTTAAAGTGGAAAATTTGAACAAGCTGGCGAATGAGAAGCTGACTTCAGCCTTGTAAGAAGTCGAATGTTGAGAGACATTTTACGAGAAACTATTCTACTTTTGCAGAAAAGTTTCCTGCCAGAGATGCGAGAAAAGTCACTCTAGCTGAGCTAAAAGCAGAGAAAAGTAAGTGTGGATTTGTGTTTATATTACACTTTTTGGTCCACAGTAGGACATTAGCACTGAGACATATTTACAGCCAAGATGGTAAAACGTTACTTCAATAAATAGACATAAAGTGTGGCTCCCAAGGAGGATTGATTTTTGTTGAAAGGACAAAATGGCTCTTCTTAACATTTGGGTTGTCAACCGCTGGTCTAGAGAGGGCAAAAACTCTCTAATAGTACCCTCAATGGCAGAAGAAACATTGGATGAGCAAATGTCTACAAACCGTTGGACATACAGGCCCAATCCCACTTCACCCCTTGCCCTAACCTCTCTGTTTTGCGTGTACATGCCTAGAGGTACGGTCTCCCGTTTTTTGTTGAGATAGAGGGGTGGGCGAAGCGTTAGGGCTACATGTTTTTTCAGAGACACACTCCAAATGGAATGTTATAAGAAAAAAAGGAAATCTGGCAAGATGGCGGCAAAAGCAACCAAAGAAACCCACAAACACATTTTCTCTGTTAAAGAATATAACCGTTGTATTATCTTAATGTCGTTTCAATGTATTTTGGTACTTTTTTTTTATAACAAGCATAAAAAATCACTAGTAGTATGCTGATGTCTACTGTAACTTTAACTCTGTTCCAAGGGGCAAGGTGATACTCGAAAACAAGGGGTAGAGATAAAAATAAGAAATGGGATTGGGCCTCAACACAGCAGTGACACCAACAAGGTAGAGGCATGTTAATGTGTGTAGTGCTGGTATGAGCATATCAGAAGAACCCCTGCCGCAACTGTCAGTAACTTAAAATATGTAGTGTACGTAGTGTTTTCACTATGTTGACTGTTGACGCATATCACATATCACAATATGACACTGACTGTTAATAGGAAGCACACGGAATGCTTTTTGTGCATCAATTTAAAACTCAATCATGTTCTCTATGTGTGTGTGCCTGAGAGCGAGAGAGAGAGAGAGAGAGAGAGAGAGAGAGAGAGAGAAACAGAGAGAGAGAAACAGAGAGAGAATTAGTGTTTCATTTGCCGACCTTACTAGCTTGAACAATAACTTATTAGCACAGGCTTCCATGTGGAAAGGTTCCAGTCCATTGATTTAATGCACGCTGTTTAGAGCAGACTAAAAGCAGCACACTCTCATCAAGCATTAAGAATGGAACAACTATGGTACCACAGAATTACAGACTGGTAATAATCTACCATCTTTATGACATTTCCATGCATTTTTCCTCTGATATTTAGCACAGTTAGTAATTCTTAAATAAAAACACAAGCACACACACAGCACGTTAAGAGACACTGGCACTGTTATCATTTTTTCACTGGATTTGAAATGGGTATTCCACCACTGACCGTAACACCACTCACAATATGACTAAAATCTGGGCTTTTCTAAAATATTGTCCACTGCAACTTTAGTTGACAAGTCTGTGTCATTTTTTGTTAAATATATGTTTTGTGCTTTTTTTTTTCCTGACACTGAAAAATAAATAAATTGTTTTTAAAAGAAATCTGCAGGGGTGTTTTTCCATATCTCCAATGTTCAGTCTTAGAAATTGGTTGTATTTTCTGCTTCTCACCATACAAGTAATCCCAAGCATATTTAATGATGTTGACGTTGTGGTCAGTTCAGTATTTTGAGAACACTGGAAGCCTTTTTGATGGATTTTCAAGTTTCTTAATTTTCCTTCTTTCTCTCAGTAACACACCCTACACATCCTTTCAGAGCAAGAGCATGGGTTGTCCTCTCACAGTGGACGGATGGACAGAAACACCTGTGGATTTTTTTCAGATCTGAAGCAGGAGTGGATTTTGATTTTCTCCTCTCTCTCAAAGATGAAAGCTTTAGGTACTGTTTTAGGACAGTTTTGGTGGTCTACCAGGTCATTTTTTAAACTCCAGTTTTGGACACTCCTGTGTTTTTTGCACATTCTCCTCTGACTTTCCCCTTCCTTGTGCTAGTTTATTATCTTACATCTAACCTCCTGAGAAATATCTCCTGGAAAATGAGTAATCTGTACTTAATGTCAGCTGACTGGATATTAAATAAATGAAAGGTGGTCTCTGAAATTCCTTCATAAAGAGTAATGAATTAGGGTTGAGGCTTCATCTCTTCATGACACATAAGTACAGTTTAAAGGCAGTGTGCGAGTTGAATCATTTCATGTCCTTGAGAACTTTCTCCTCCAGTTATATATGTGTCAACTTTTTTAAAATGTTCTTCTAGTGTTCTAATACAGAGAAAGAAAAAGGCAGAAAATGCAGCAATGCTTGGTGTTGGGTGTTACTAAAGCGTGAGCAGCGTATCTTGCAGAAGGGGAGAATTCATAACGCTCTGTCACTATATGACAAATCGTTTCACAATAAGAATCTAATATCCAGATGTTATCTACTAGAGTAAGAGAAACAACACAGAACAGGAATATCTGTGCTTTGGTTCAACAACCTACCAAACAAGTCTATAAATGAATTAGAAGTGTAAAAAGTCAGTCTTAAGAGATGTCCTTCTTTCCAACTTCATTCAGTATGTTGCCTTTTTGTTTCAGAAATGAGTTTATTTACATTGGTGTCTTACTGATTGATTATGGACTGTCTGTGAATGCCTGTTAGGGTAGAGAAGTGATAGCGTCACATGCACAAAAGCACTAAGCAAATATGGATAAATAAGGAAATATGAATATACGGGAGAAAAATGACAAAACACTGATGAAAACACACACTGAATTTTTAAATTTATTCTTGCCTTGGTCCACAGTGTTGTGTGCGGGAGTGGGAAGGAAACCAACCCACTGCAGGCAGGAGCGGGATGCATGAAGAGAAATCCCGCAAATGAATGAGTAGTCTACATGAAGTCGAATGATCACTAAATCACATGTATAAACAATTTAACACAATAACATAAAACAATTAAAATTTATGAATCTTTTTTAAAGAGCTGCGAAGCAACTGATCACGTGAATCTGACCACAGCTGACCACAGCTGCCGAGCCCAGAAAAATACGAAAAATAACTGTTCTGTGTTTTAATTCCTGCTTTGTGTTTGCTGGGAATAAATGGTGTTTGGTGAAATTACTTCACAGTAAGGCTGACCATGACTGCCATGTTATTACAGAGAGAAATGAATGTATTTGTGAATAGACTTTGCCAGACATTTGATGTCAGTTCGCCTCGATGGAACTGCGTGGGCCAAAATGTTTCAGTAGCGGGCGGGAGCGGGACAAATGATTCCGATTTTCTTTGGGAGCAGGATGAAATCTTGCGTGAGCGGGCGGGAGTGAGACTGAAAAAAGTCCCGCGCAGACCTCTAGTCTACATTTTGATCACCACTACTTCAGCAAATTATCAGCAAATTAGGCAAATTATCATATCATCGCTGTCAGGACAAAAACTTCTATCTAAATTTTTACAATAATGACTAAAAATACCAGCTGCTCTTTGCATTGTGTTAAAGTTTCTTGAGGAATAGAGAAACAGAAATGCTCCAAAATTAACATGTGGTTTCATTAACTTCATTAAGATTTTTTCCTTCTCCTGCAAAATTCCCTTTTTGGAGATTTGAGGTTTTGTCCTGTGACAATATGTTCATGTCTAAATACACAAATCGAATCAGTTTTTAACTCACTTAAGTCCAAATTAAACACTTTCAGGGCTGTGCACTCTGCACGGCTATATTCAGATCATCACCTAAACACAATTTCTTCCAGCATAAATGCATGCAACACTGTCATCTTGTCTTACAGCCCATGAGTTCACTAAGCAGTGGGGAAGGCTGGAGACTAATGAACAATTGATTTAAAATGGCAGCAGAGGGCCACTGGTGTCAGTGAGCAGGGAATGTGTGAAACTTGGATAGAGTATTAATAGAACACAGCCTTAGGTCAAAACATCTCACACACATAGTTCACGTGCGCACATAAAATAATCACTCTGTGTTAGAAGGGGAAGCAGAGCTCCAGTCATGTACTTCCTGACAGTAATTTCTTCTCTTAATTCCACACCTCAGACTAGAATCATGTTAGTGGGTAAACCTGATATGGTGATACATTAGAAACCATCAGGCCAGAGTAATGACCACACTGAGCTGCTTCCTGCCCACAGCCAGCACTAAGCAATGACTCAACCCGAGATGATCTCCACATAGACTTCTCATATAGGTAAATGAAAGAACAAAGGAAATTCCTTCATATAGAATAATGAATTATGGTTGAGGCTTCATCTGTTCATGGTAGAGAGGAATAGCTTAAAGGCACCGTGCAATCTGAATCACAGTTTTATGTCCTTGAGAACTTTCTCCTCCAGTTCTGCATATCTCTTCAGAAGAGGTCCATAGACCTACAAAGACATGAAGTAAAAAAATCAAACAGAAAATGTCATGAGTGGATAGCAAATACTTCAAGGCTGTTAAATTTGCACAGCTAGTACACAGCTTATTACCTTAAAGCTACACTTACTGGCCATTTTATCAGAAACATCTACCATTTAGTTGTAAGTAAACATTTGAACACAGCCAGTCAAACTTAAATATTTTAAGTACGCACGATTTGTGAAAAAAAAACAAAACATAATAAAACGTGCCAAAACTTTTGCACAGGCCATATTTCATGTTTTACAATTTTTTTCTAACATGTTAAATAAAAAAACAACAAAAAAAAAACAAACTGAAATGATGCATTAAATATGCAGAAGTATGTTCTCTGTAGAGGATGTGTAACTTATTTTCACTTAAAAAAAAAAAAAAATCAAGCAGGGGTGCCCAAACTTTTGCATACAACTGTACATGGGCACTTTGCAGATCATGTGCAGATTTACAATTGCTGACTGTACTAATCTGTTGCTACCCAATTCATCAGCCCCCTGTCTACTCCATCCATTAATAAAAAGAGACCACCGTAGGACCACTGTTGACCAAATACTCTTTGGGTTGTGGCACCAACAGTGGCACGGCAGTATGCGCTGCGCTGGTATGCAGCAGTGATGCTAAGGCTTTAAAGGAGACATATTTGGCTCTTTTTAAATCAAATATAGTTCCTTGTCCTTGTTGAAAGACAACTGCAAGAAACATAAATCAAAGCACCTTAATTCAGTTTTTTTATGTTTTCTCCTGTCATTTATTCCTCTGTGATATTCTAGGTGTTGTGTGTAGTCAACGTGTCACAGTGAAGAGCTCCACGATGGCTGCAGCACGTTCAACTTTTTAAGCTTGTTTATGCTGAGAGCCAGACACAGTCACTACAACTCAAGCGTGATGTTACAGAGAGATGCAGACACCTTGTAATTCACTTTGTACAAAGCTTCTGTTTACTCATTTTACCACTGCTAAGACAGTTATACTTTCTGCATGCCTGGTAATGGAGATTTTGTGAAAATGGCAGCTGCAACGGTGACAGTGTGAAGGCTGGGTGAGTGGGCATGGCAATTCGGTGGGGCGGGACCACAGATATACATAGCTAGATGCTGCGATGTGTGTTGTTCTCTATCTGAGGCGTTACGTCTGCGCGTCCGCCATGTTGGAGCGGTCAAGATGCGCTTGTGAACAAATTCACTTGTATTGAGAGATGATATGTTCTCAGGATTAAACTGGTCACAATTTCCTTATTACTCAACTGATTTTCACCAAATTTGTTTTGTTATAATCCTCGGACATAGATTAGTCTAGGTTGCACGGACTGCTCTCGGCAGCTTTTATTTCTTTAATAACTGATCGTGCTAATTTGCCGTCCAGACCAGCAGAAAAGTATTCAGTCTGAACTTGACGTTAAAAACCAAGTTTGTCGGGAGCTCTGGTAAAAACACAATCTCACACACATCAGCAAATCCATCAATGTGTGAATCACTTCTAACCTTAATATTCATAAAACTAAAATGCAATTCTATCCCACATTCTGAGTACAATATTCTTGAAATAGTATAATTTTGGACAATATCTTTCTTAAACTGCTGCTCTGTAACAGTACTTAATGCAGTCCAGCAGCGACATTGACCACCCCAAAATGGCGACGCCGTTGACGTGCCTGGCTGAACCCAATGCAGCATCTAGGTATGTATATCTATTGGCTGGACCTCTGATTGGTGTGATGGGAGTATCGAACAGCAAATCATGTTTCCTGTAAAAGGGAAAAACGGCAAAATGGTAGACACTTCACATTTAACATTTTTTCGCATGGTAGACACAGTGACAAGTTACACATATGTGAAATAGCAAAGAAAATGGAAATGGGTTTATTATGTCTCCTATAAAACATAGTGTACACTTTCTGGCCACTTTATTAGACACATTGTTACACTTACATTGTTGGTACGTATTCTAGGTGTGTAGTTAGAGATACTAGCAGCATCTTCTTTCCATTTTTTTTGTGTTAGTCATCCGCTAGCCCAGGGTTCAGCATGCGGCTCTTTTACCGCCCTGTTGCAGCTCCACAGCAGAATTAGACTTTTAGGTAAAAAAAAAAAAAAAATCCTCCTTTGTGGTAAAATAAAGCATCAGCACATACTGAGACACATTTACAGCCAAGATGGTAAAACGGACAGAAAATGTTGTGGGTCCCAAGGTGATTTGCTTCTTGTAGAAAGGACAAAATGGCTCTTCTTTACATTAAGGTTGCCGACCCCTGCTGTAGCCCTTCATCAGTGGTCAGTTTCTGGCCACAGTACCATTGTTACCTGGATATTTATAATATAATAAACTGGTCATTCAGGGTAAACGCACACATATACTTTAAAGAAAGCAACTGTGTTACTGTAAACATGATTTTCTCGAGGGAAAGTGATCTGAAGGCAACACAATGAAAAAGAAGAAATAAATGCGAATAAATGAGCCCTTTAGAGGCTAAATGAGCCCTTTAGAGATTACCCAAGGTCGCTAATGATTGGAGCTTAGTAGTAGATGCCATAAAGCTATTGTACATAACATTCTCACACTGTGTCACATTCTGAAGTCAGATATTACTGTTCATCAAAAGCTCTATACACATGAAATATCAAACTATGTGGCTCCGCTGGCTATCCTAACAGCAAGACCATTCAGAGTGTTTTGATTAAGGTTAGTCCTTAAAAGCACAGTAAAAACCATTGACCATCAATGTATAGAACTGGCCTTGAAATAAATAGAGAGTATTTTTTGATGCTTTTAATCATCCCACGCTGCCCATTACAAGTGTCAGCACTAGTCCTCGCTCACTGATTGATGCCTTGACTTCTGTGATCTTATTTATCACTACAAATCATTCTTACCGTAGCTTTCAGACAAGACCAAATAAGAAACAGTGTATAAAGTCTTCAGCAGTAATGTGAAATAAATCAAATATCAGCTTTAGACAAGAAGCAGTCAGTTAATTCAGTTACTTATCAAAAACCTTTGGAACCTTAAGGAAAAAGGAAGATTCTTACATCATCTGAATTTACAGTTTATCAATTTGTCATAAATAGACCAAAAAAAAAACTATGTTTAGATTAGACGTCAACTGGCTTCGTTCAAGGCTATGGCATGCACCTTTTCCCCAAGTCCTGATGACGGCCGCAAGAGCCGGCAGGAAAATGCCATTAAGATTCGACAGCTATTTTAAACTGATATTTGATGACATATTTATTATACTCCAGGACAGCCAAAGGTGATGCTGGGCTGCTGTGCTAAAACACCTTCATTTTACTTATTTTACTGCATTTGTAGCTCTCTACAAAATTGTTACATTTCTCTGCATTGCTAATTTAGGGTCAATGTCTACATTTTATATGTGTTTATGTATGAGCATTGGCAGATTTGTACATGAAAAATATTGGATATTGGCAGAGGTCCACAATCCTCATATTGATCCATCTCTGATATCAACACATTGTCTTATATAGACTATGCTTGAATGGAACGTCCTGCACTATTATATGCAGTTAGAGCAGTTTGGTATCATTTAATGCTCTGCAGAATTTAAAGTCAGAAAAGTGGAATCGCATCATTATTCCTTTGAGGAATCAGCCTCATAAATTTACTCCTCTGGGCAAAGTGTACGTTTGCTGCAAGCTGTGCTATCATGTGATATTCCTTCAGAAAACAGGGTGCAAAACATGGATGATGAATAATGTATGGGAAGCTAAACTAATAAGCAAGAATATACTCTTGGTGCAATGACTAGAAAGAGAACCAGGAAAGCACTTGATGCCAGTATTCGGACTACAGTGGAGCAAGAGGAGGGTCTAAAGCCGAAATGACTGGCGATACCGAGATTTATCAAACATAGGGTTCCATTATTTTCAAAAGGTATCTTATAACCTTTACTATCAATCTTCTGGGTACAAATTGATTAGATGTATGCTGATTCAATGTCTTTTGTTTACCTAATGTGGACTCAGTGTTATTATGTGGAGTTGAAATTGCAAAAAGTTGTTTATGTACTTCACTGTCATGGTGATTTCATGTCACGGATTGACTGATAATTGATACACGTCACCTTTCCAAGCTGTCACTACATTTGGATGTGCTGTTAGTGCTGATATGTGCTCTGCCCTATGGGTATTTGGTATACTTAGTAACAAGCTCCAGTGTATCACCAATATATCTGACAGAATGTGATGAACTGGCATCTGTTATCTCTTTTTAATAACTAGGATATCAAAGTCAATGTTATAAAACAGATTCTAGGTCAGCATTTTTACAGGAAACAGTTTCATACATTGGTCCACAGGGTTGATCCTCTTGACCTGTTCTGTGTCTGGCATGCATGGGTACATATGTACTAAAAAAGCCTTTGGAATTACTTAAAAGAAAAACACGTCCACAAGCTAAGGTCAGGGTCAGCCATTTTGTCTGTTCAAGGTGGATCTGTGTTTTGAGTTGGGAAGAGAGCATATTTCCCTCACTCTGCCTCTCTCTCCCTTGGTAAATTGCTTTCTGCCCCTTGACATGATCCATCCATTTTACGCTCTGGCAGCCCATCCCTGGGGCATAGCGAGAGAAATATGCTGCGTGTTACATGCCAACAGCATCCTCAATATGAAAGTGTGACAGACGCCCTACTGGAAAAGAGATGGAGCAAATGTGAGTAAGACGGAGAGGTGAAGGAGAAACACATGCCAATTAAAATGCGAAAAATTGGAGTAGACCGTCTTCCCTCCCTCCCCATCGACCAGGGTCAACCATAATAAGGCCGCATATAAAAAAAGAGTCCTGTGTTTCCAGGAGCAAGTATGTAAGAGAGTGATTAGTAGTCCAATTTACATTTGTATAGCTAGAGAGGATGTTTCACTCCCACAGTCTATCAGAGCGCTGGGCCCCTGAGCTAATCTCTCGAGCTTAAGTCTACATGGAAGAGGAGAGAAGATCTCTAAAGGTTTTCTAGAGCTAG